GGGGACCGGTATCGTCCAACTCCTCTTCGTTGTCGCCTTGCAATGTGGCAACTGACCCTTCCAACCTGAGCTCACTGTCCTCACTGGTAGGCTCACTATCCGAATCCGCGTTGAAACGATCAATGTTGGTAGGGAAATCACCATCCTAATCTAGCTCATCATTTCCTTCCCCATCGGCACCCTTTTTGTTGCTGATTCGAGGATTTGCTGCAGGAAGCCGATGGTCTGCATCTTCTTTGGAACCACCACTACCTTGGAGTGAGGCCCTGGCATGGGCATCCTCGTCCTGCAATCCCTGTGGAATGGCTGCCCTGGAATCTTGTCCCTTTCTTGGTGCTTTTGCGGGCCGACCGGTGTCAGTGAGACCAAGCTGATCAGCTCTGGCCCTTGATCTCGTCTGTCTAGCACCCATAGGATTGAAGGCAAGGTCCAAACCAGGGGCTTTCTGCATCAGTTGGTGGCAGCGCTTGTTCTGTTGCATGTGAGATTGCTGATATCCCACAGACTTGAATCTTTTATTGCAGTAAGGGCACTCAAACTCCTTCTTTGATGATGCCATGGCTGCAAGCTAGCTAGCCAACACTAGCTGCTACTAGGCGCAATGGCTGGTGATTTAGATTCTGTGTGCTGGGGAACCGCCCGCTTACCAATCGGGATGTAGTTTATGGTACCAAAGAGGGGGTTTGCCTTCCCGAAAAGACGGTCCAAAAAGTGGATACCAAATCGTGAACCATGTAGTCTTGCCGGGCGAGCCTTCAATGCATGCTGATGTAGAACACACGATCCCGATTCCAATCCCTGCACACATTCTTGGAAGAAATTACGTCACGGATCGGGATCGGGCTGGTTGGCATTTGGTACCTGCACGCATGTCGATTCTAGCGCTACCTAAAAATGCGCTTCTTAGATGTGGAATCTCATGGTCTTGTTGGTGTGGTAATGCACTCTTGTGCTTGTGGACTTGTGTGGGTGCTCCTGCAGGAAGGATCTCACAGTGATAGCACGCGTTGTGCCGTGTCTATCTTGCCTTGAAAAGGATTGCTTTGTGCCTGGATAGGCTGCTTGTAGTCACACTTGATGGCTGGATAGCCTCGGTCTAGATTGACTGCTCACGTAGTTCGGTGGAACTCGTGGTGCAGGAGCCTTGGGTAGTAGCGAACTGCCTCTTTTGGTCTCTGATCTCTGCTTTCTTGTTGCAGGACCTTGTATTGATGTTAGATGAGTGCACTGAGTGAGTTACAGCAGTGTCTGAAACAGGTGCACGGTGGAGATTTGGCTCTCCGGGATACTTGTGAGGTGTACCGGGATTTTTGTGGTTCACGTCACAATAGCGGTGAATCACTTGGATCAACCTATCTCACTCAATTTTGGGAGTTAGAAGCATGCACTGATACTTAGAGTACCCTTGCCGTGTTGCGCAACTTCCGTTCTATTGCTCGTTTGGCTTGCAATGCCCTTGTTTGACGATAGCTTGATCAGCAACTGTTGGCTCTTGCTCACCGTGATGTGATGAATAGAAATCTCGCGCAATGACGTAATCGGTTGTAACTCTTGCTATAACAGTGCGATTGACGTACTTCCAGTATCGAATCCGTGTAGAATTCCCTTCTCTTCAACGTGCTTTGCTTGGATTGCTGTAGTTCCGGCCAAAACTGTCAGTCGATCTTCCATGACGTCAAAATGGGATTGATCTTCCCGCGCTCGCACCTTTATCCTGTTAGAGGTGTTTGGTATCTTTTATAGTGAGTGTACAGGCTGGTTCTGCGCACCTTTTCTCTATTGCTATAGTTACTCGGTGTGATCAGGCACACTTTGACTTGATAGTCTTATAGGTTGCTTCTCGGTAGCACAGTCTCGAGGCGAAGTAGTAACTCGAGATGGCGCTTTTCAGATTCAGTGTTGTTTGTCTAGCTAAAAGGCTAGCACTGCAGCTTATTGAGGGGTAATTTTGGTTTTTGGTTAAGCTGAATCTGAAAAGTGAATATTTTCTGGTGGCTGACAGCAATTCTTCAAGTTGAATGGATATAAGGATGCACGCAACACTTTAGACCTAAAACTCCCTTTGAGACAGTGTAGCAATTAATATCCGAACCGTACTAAATTGTAATACACGAGTCAAATGATAATATGAGATATGAGGAATATATCCTCCAACATCACTGTCGTAACACCATGTTTCCAACATCAATCAATATTGGTGAGACGACGTTCGGGGTGGTCGTACACCAAGTGAAAAGGTTCGATTTCAGTTCTCAGATGGAGCGCTTGGTCCACGGTAGGAATCATAGTGGTCTGACTCCCCAAAAGCTAATGTGAAAGCTGGGTGACAACTGGAGCTGTACAGTAGGTAGTCTGCTCTGAAATATCCCCATCACCCAGTGATGCATTGGGAGCACCAGCAAGGGCAGATAGTTGCATTGGAGCAACCAAGGGAGTGTCGTTGGACAGCTGGTGGTGGGTCGCTGTAATGGGCAAAGGACGAGCACTTGGCGGCTCCCCATAAAATCTGGCTTGGAAGCTGGCTGGTGGCTGGTTGGGTTGCCTGGTCTTGGGGGCAGCTACTTTCTGCCTGTGTTGCCTGGCCAAATAGCTACTGGTAGCTGCTTGCTGCCTATGTTTATCAGTCGGTGGCCATCCCCCATTTTCCCTCTCTTAACCAGTCGGTCGTGTGCGAGAGGAGGAGTTGATCATACTTAACCATGTGTGTATTGTCAACGTGTCTACCATATGTGGATTGGTTTGTAGGAATGAATGAACAAAGGCCATTATCCACAGCCGCAACACCATTTTCCATATTCTGAGACAAACTACAGACACTTCCGATGTACACCAGAATATGGAAAATTGGACAAATTTGTTGCTGATCTTCTGTTTGTTGTCTAACGCAATGTTAAGAGAAAAGGAAAACAGCAACCTCTCCAATCGCATGAAATAACCTCTTCAGTCGAAGTACCAGTAGTCAGTCACTCATTCGCTCCATAAAATTCGTAATTCGTAGGTCAAATGTGGAAGCTATGCCCTTTTCTTTCCTCTTCTTGCTCCACAATGGCCAAAGCAACTATGACGCCTCTACCGCTAATGAAACAGTTGGCAACTACTCTTCATTGATAGGGTTGATCTCGGCTTCGATCTCATCTGCCGTCTATTGGCTATTGAGTTCTTGTTGATCTGGTCGAGTTTTTCCTTTTTAATCTGCTCTGTTAACTTGTCCACTCGCTCTTGCCACTTCACCAGGGCTTTGTCTACTTGCTTCAACATCTTCCAATCGTTCTCCGGCTCCTTGACCATTCGTTCAACTGTCGAAGTTGGCTCGTTTTATCCCCGGATCTCTCATCTCGGATCTCTGCTTTGGAACCAAGATCGCCGTCTTCGCCGGGAGACTGGCTGAGATCTGCGGGGATCCGGGTGACTGAGATCCGAGATTGGCCAAGATCGGAGATGCGGGGCAAGATCCACAAAAATGGCACTCATAATCGCCAAAAGAAAACATGATATTTCTGGAAAAATTAAGTCAGCGGGAGCTGCGATACCTCGGCAGAAAGACAAAAAGAAGAAGGAGGATCATGTTTGACATTGCACCCTTCTTTCAAGGTACATAGCCCTGGCGACAACACCCGACTTCGTCGTGTGTTGCCGCCCGGTATCATTCCCTCATTGTAACCTTCTTTTTTATTTAAGCTAGCCCTGGCGACAACACCCGACTTCGTCGCGTGTTGCTGCCCGCTAACCATAATTTTACAGCTGCCAGTCCCTTATGTAACTGTAACCTTTGTAGCTTCTGCTGGCTTATTGTGTTGTGCACTAACCTTGAATAATCATGATTTATTCCTACCCCTAAATTTGTAGAATCTTCAATTTCCAGTTTTATTGGCTTACCATATGACTATCTCTATCCCTATACTCTGGCTTCACCGGAATAGTAATTAAGTCAGCGGGAGCTGCGATACCTCGGCAGAAAGACAGATAGAAGAAGAATGACATGTTTGAGATTGCACCCTTCTTTCAAGGTAGCCCTGGCGACAACACCCAACTTCGTCGTGTGTTGCCGCCCACTATCATTCCCTCATTGTAACCTTCTGTTTTATATTTTAAGCTAGCCTTGGTGTTGCTGCCGGCTAACCCATAATTTACAGCTACCATTCGATGGTGTAACTCTAAATTTACAACACCTGCTGGCTTATTGTGTTTTTGTGCTGAGTGCACTAACCTTTTAAAATTACATTGATATATTCCTACCCCTATCTTTTTATTGAACCTTCAATTTCTAGTTTTGCCAGCTTATATTATCTCTATCCTTATACCCTGGCTTCACCGGAATAGGAGATCCCACAGACAGGAAATGAGGGGGATCCCACAGACACTGCATAGGCCTATTTTTAAGTCAGCGGGAGCTGCGATACCTCGGCAGAAAGACAAATAGAAGAAGGATGACATGTTTGAGATTGCACTCTTCTTTCAAGCTAGCCCTGGCGACAACACCCGACTTTGTCGTGTGTTGCCGCCCGGTATCATTCCCTCATTGTAATCTTCTTTTTTATTTCTGCTAGCCCTGGCGGCAACACCCGACTTCGCCGTGTGTTGCCGCCCGATAACCATAATTTTACAGCTGTCATTCCCTTATGTAACTGTAACCTTTATAGCTTCTGCTGGCTTATTGTGATGAGTGCACTGACCTTGAACAATCATGATTTTATTCCTACCCTAAACTTGATAAACCTTCAATTTCCAGTTTTGTTGGCTTACACCTATCTCTATCCCTATATTTTGGGTTCACCGGAACAGGAAATAGAAAATAGGAAATACCAAAAAGGGGGTGAGGGCTCAGGCAGATAGAATTGCCGAGGTAAAAAGGGGTAGAGGGCTCAGGCAGATAGACTGCCGAGGTAAAGGGGTTGAGAACTCAGGCAGATAGACTGCCGAGGTGACCTTTGTATTTTTAAATTTCAGAAACAATTTAAATTTTAGTCCCAAAACTGTCTTCCTGGAATAAAAACTGAAGACTAACACTCGGCTATTTTCATGCTACTGTTTTCATCTGGTAGCAAACATGGCACCGGTACAGGTAGCTCATCAGAGGTGCTTGTTGTGAGCTCAGAGGATTGTCCTGTGGCACCACTGTGGTGGCTACCACTTGAGTTTTTGACAGCCAGCCAATAGGTTGTCATTTCACCTTTGCCTTATACAGAGAGGTGTCGTAACAAGGGCATTTTGAGCAATGAATTAGCTCCCAAAGACCAAAGAGCCTTGCTCAGTCAGACCAATACACATGAAAATGACATACCTTTGGCCACAACCTTGTTGGAGCGCTTTGTGATCCAATCAGACTTGCCAGCTTTGACAAGCAGCTGACAAGTGTCGTGGGAGCATTGGATCGACCCTGGCCGCCCATTGCTTTCCATTCTAGATGCAGTATTGACTGTGTCAATGAAGCAATGAAGAAAAGGTAAGCGAAGGTTCCGTTTTGTTGCAATCAAGCTCCAATAGCTATCTAGCTATCTAGCAATGGTCATACCTGTATCTCCAAACAACTGCAAAGCCAAGATTGCACAAGCGATTGAGAAGCCCATCCTGTACAAGCTATATAATAGCAGCTCAATTGTAACCTACCTGGAACCGGCCTTTCTCTCCACGAAGAACCCCAGCAGTGACTGGACCCTGCAATTCAGGAGGCACAGCAGCTGGGTAAGATTCTTCTTCAAAGGGTGCACCGCTGGGCCTTCTAAAGGGAGACACTTACTGAATGCAACCCAATCCTCACAACCAGATCTCTGGTATCTGGACCCAACGTTTCTGCCAATGCATTGAATACTAAGCTGCTTTTTCTCAGGCAATCCCAAGCAAAGCGAGTTGCAACCACAGCATGGTCTCTTCTGGGCTCTGCAGAGCAAAAGAGTTTGAACAGATTTGCTTTAGCATACCCATTCTCAAAGATTAGACAGCCATGGTGAAAGAGCTAGATAGAAGAAACACGTACTGGGTAGGCCCACCACACCAACATAACAGTCCCCCACTGTTTCCACTGTGGTTCACAGAGAGCATGTTAGGCATCAGATAGGCTTCTGCAACACTTTTTTGCCGTCCTACAATCGGTTACCTTTGAAGACACATCTCCTCCTAGCAATTACATCAAATTCACCATACAAAGTCTCCAAAAGGACGAACACATCATGTGGAGTGCGACTGCCACTCCACTTGGTAAAGCCTGCAGAGGAAGGCAAAACTGGAAGGGTCAGCTATGGGTCCTACCATCTATGGCTGCCCAAACAGCATGGAACTCACCCACTAGATCACCAAAGAAGACAGTTGTTTCTGGATGCAGAAAAGCCAAAGCATAGTCAGTACAATTTCATTGCATATCTCACAAAAGGTGGCTCTGTGATGTGCGATCTCTTACCAGGGTAGTGATCAGCAATGGGAGCATCCTCCAAGATCTTGATCCCACCAGCAAGCTGCTCTTTCCTCATGGTGGCTGAATCAGCATTTACAGTGGTCATCTGTGTGGTGCTAGGTGCGCCATAGTCCTTAGCGCCTGAGTTCAAAAGACTTTTCAAATTGGACGGGTCATCAGCAGAGCTTCCTTTCCTTCCTTCCTCCATTTCTCTCTGAGCCTGTGATTCAGCTTGCTCCATAATCCGATCACGCACGGCATCAGGGAACAGCTGTGACACAATAGCAGTAGTCCTGGTAGCAACTGTCATGACCTTTTGCTGTCGTCTCTGAACAAACCAAACAAAGACGAAGAAGAAGGCACCCAAGGCTGCAAAGATGCCAGCAAGAAGCCCCACAAACTGTGCTGTGCTGTTGGAAGAGTAGGTTTCTTCAAAAGCCTTGGAAGGGTAAATGGCTAGACTGTAGAGGCACTGGTTGGCCACGGCAGATCCTTGCTCTGGTAGAAAGATAGATCCAAAATCCACCACTTGGACCATATCCTCATAGTCTGGGTCATGCAGGTCACCATCACCAAGGAACTCAGCATGAGGTCCTATTAGTTCAAATGAACTGGACTGTGCACATGTATTTTGGAGGACAACTATAATCCCAGTAACTCCTGATGGCAGAAGGTCAGTAAGGTAGAACTCCCATGCCAGGATACCATGCAAGACACCTGCTAAGATTCTGTTGTGCTTGTCAAATGAGTCATAGATTGGAGCCATGACAAGGGAATGCGGTCTAGTCATTGACCAAGAGAGGTTGGAGAGAGGAGAGGATGAGGTCATCATGTCATTATGGCCATTGCTGTCCATGTCATGATGAGAATGATCATCGTGGCTGATACTTTCGTTCAGCCTTCTATGTCCAGGATGCAATTCATCCATATGCGAAGATGACATGTCTTCGGTGGTGGCCAATGTGGCATTCATCTCGTGCTCCAGTTGGCTGTCCCCATTGTCTGCCACTTGGTTGTTATGCTCATGGGAGGTGGCTGGGGAAGGTAGTACCAACTTTGCATCACCATATTGGCCCACTGTTTGGCCACTGGTAGCAGCCTGTCCCAGGTGGGTGGCATGATGGCGGTGATGTTCATTATGGCTAGCAAGGTCGAAGTACTTGCGAACCACAATACTATCCCGATAGACTTTCGATATGGTTGCATGTTTGTTTGTTTGCATCTCCTGAAAGGTCTCACGATACAATCCTTCAGATAGCAGGTTGAAGTTGATCAAGGATGCATCACTGGGAAGGGGTGACATTTGCCATGCCGGTAGAAACGGGATTGTGTGTGATGAATGATCAGCAGTACCAGTATCTGGGGCATCATAGATCTGGGGGGAAACATCCACAGGAGTGTTCTCTTTGCCTTCTTGCAACCAACCAGTCATGTTTGGGGCAGTGCTGTATGCCTCCCATTTCTCAACATCTTGGCTTCCTACAACCGGGGAAAATCCAATCATCTCAAGATAGGCTGATTTCCCGGCCCTAAGGCCTCTCATTTCAAAGTCTGGGATAGTTGTGCAAGGCCACTGATAGCCCAGCTTATCTCCAGTGAATGTCGTGAAACTTGTAATTGCACTTGACATTGCCTCCAAGGATTCCACAACTTGCATTGCATGGAAGGAGGAAGATTCAGAAATGACTGAGGCATGTTGCGTGAACTAGAGGTATCAATACACAGGGAGCGCAGTAAGTGGAAGGCGAGTGAGGACCACAAAACAACTTCATCCAGCTCTCAAGAAAGACAGTGGCACAAACTTACTCCGTGTCGGAAATCTTCCTTTTCAGCATGCGAAAGAAATGCAAATGTTGAGGAAATCACCACAGCCGCAGTTACGGCAATCATAGTCATTACCACAAGCATGGAAACAAGCACATGAGTGGAATCTCTCTTGGCTAAACGATATTTGGTAGTCTCCTGTTGATCTTCATCTTCGCTGGCATCAACATCCATGGCGGAGTCCTCCATCGAGTGATGGCTATCACCATTCCACTCGTTCAAGTCCATTGTGATGCTCGTCATCCTCTGTCCTCTGGCACTTTCGGGGGTGCTATTGTAAGTTTTGATGGGTTGAATGAATGAATTAGCAGATTTTATGTTGTGATCTAACTTCATCATCAAATTCTTGAAACACTCTCAGGGTCTGCCAGCACTGGGACAGCTACAAACTGGTAGTCGGCACCGCATCCGTAGCTCCGTGGCTCCGCAGCTCCACCAGCAGAGAGGGATGGAAGCTCAGTTCTGCATCGTTTTGGTCGCCTCTCACGTGGGTACCCACATGAAACACCCATAACACAATTATTGCTTTTCGATTGAATTCTCGACTTCCGCGCGGTCAAGGGGTTATGGGGTTATTGAGCACAGCGAAGGGATGGAACGGTACCAGTTACCAGTGAAGGCTTCCCCACCCTAAAACCCGCTTGCCCTTGGCCGTACTAGTGGAGACGTACATTGACATATTATTATTGACATAGCAATGGTGTACTCCTTAACCTCCGAACTCCGAACCTCCAAGAAGACGGAAAAAGACAAGTCTTTAAGTCATTCAGCCTAAACTTATGAGGAGACTTCAATGACTCATCACTCATCACCCTCAACTTTCCAGGAAGACAGGTAGTTGGAGGAAATATTGGGTTATACCGATATTAACCTTTGCTCTACAAAATAAATGCTTTTTGAAAAACAGTTTTACCTCAATCCCGAAGCTTCTAGGTCGCCTCCTTTGTCTGCCTTCCGTTTTCTAAGCCTTTTGACTTTTTGTATCAGCTTCGACCACTCGCTCGTTTCCCCTCCTATGCATTGCTAGCTTTCCCCTCTATTAATTCAATTGCAAATGCAAACACCGCAGAACAATCAAATAAATGTCAAAGCCTTTTGTAGACTTGTCAAGACTCCAAGAGCTTCCCCGGGCAATGTCTGTTGAACTTGAAGTAAAACTGAGTCTTGCTGCAGTCGCTCAAGTCTGGCCCTCCCTGTCGAGATAGTCTAGCTAGCTACAGTGCTACAAGGAGCAAGCACCAGACCAAGCATCGCTCTCGCTGCATTGGTGATGTTCCTGATGCTGGATACCACCAACAGGCTTTTGGACCGTGGGATTTTGCTTTTGGTGATCTAAATAGCAGCTTCAACTGGCTGAAGCGGCGGAACTCGCAGATTGTGACTCGACTCGGCGTTTGCATCAGGCACTGGCTAAGCTCTAGCCAATGTCGGTATTTCTTGAGATCTGCCGCGTTCGATCGAAACAGGGCGATGTTTGGTTGCCAATCCGCCTTTGATTTTCCTTGAGGCAACCGAGGTACTGATGGACGACAAAAGTTTGTTTTATTGCCAAAACTGTCAGCTGAAAAGCAGCTATTCTTTGAAAGCTACTTTAGTGTATTAGTTCGCACACACAGCCATGCGAATGTCTTGCTTGTCTGCTTGGTATCAAGCATAATAGAGCCCCGGCTAGCTAGCTAGTAGTGTTCGTGGCTTCGGAGAGCAGACCGGGGCAGATCATTCGTAGCCACAAAGCGGGCAAGTGGGAACAACTCATTTAGCTTGTCCTTGGGAGCTTTTGTTGGGTCGGAACTGGATCTGTGGCCGTAGGGGGCTGCCCAGTTTTGGTGAGCGTCGTGGGAGTCCTTCCAGTCATGGTTAATTTTTCTTCCGAGGGGGTGCCCGCGACAAATTCGTCCAGTTGTTGGGACTCAACCAAGGTTCACACGAATGCAACTCCTCAGACACGGCGAAGACAACAAGCATCGATGAAGTTGCCTTTGCCTTCCGCAATCGATAGCCAGCATCAATGACAGGCTGCAGTAGTGGATTAGCTGAGACGACAAACTCTTAAATGATTATGACATACACAATGATAAATGCAGTTCCAGAATCAGGGAGATCTTCGCCCTGCCGTACGGGCATAGAAATCCAAAAGACAAGGCATCGAAGAGCCTCAAGCCGTTGCAACGATACGTCCTCATGGCGGCAGATTCATTCCCTTGTATGGTTTTTCTTCGTCTTATCCGTGACACCACCAGCACAGTCTCAACCAACGTTTGATGAATGCAAGATTTTTCTGGTGGCATCAGACACAGCCCGAGACATGTCGTTGAACCGAGACCCCGAGTACATTCGATTCTTGAACCTGATTGCTCGGACGTACATGCTACCATTCAATTTCGATAACTATGACGAACTACCTCTGACGCTGCAGACTACATATAAAGCCTATGCTTGGACGAAATACTACGAGATTGACATTTCTGCTGCACAGTTCGGAGCTGTTGTGCCTGATGAGGAAGTGGATGTTCTCAGAGGCTTCTGCAACGAAACATCAGACTTCATTGAAACACTTGTCCATTCGATTTCACCGACATCAGCTCCCACGCCCGTTCCAACGACAACAAGTCCAGTTCTTCCGGCTCCTACCTTTCCCCCGTTGTCATTTGACGTGGAAACTGCCAATACAATGGTGATGAGTGAAAGCGCATCTATCTCAGATCTTCCCATTCAGTGTCGACGTGCCATGTTTGGCTCCGACAGTGAAAGAGATGGATTCTTGCTTCCGGAGGAGTACACCATGTTTGCCAACCGCATGTCTAGCAATGCCTATTTGCAGGCAGGCAGTTTTGACGCCTTGCCTTTGGAGCTCCAGGAGAACTTTCACAATCTCGCAGATGAAGGGCGCATCGATATCTTCGGTGCAATTCCATCTCAATGGTCACAAGCCACGCCACAGCAGAGAGCCTTTCTGCAGCTGGTGTGCTTTCGGACGGAAGGAGCGCTAGTGAAGGCTCATGAAGCCAAGGAGCAACACAATAACCAAACGGTGACTCACACTGCAACTCCCACAACAGTAAGCCCAACAACCTTGCTGCCAGCCAACAACACAGTTGCGCCAACACCATTCCAGACAACAAATGCCAATGCCAACAACACAAACAGTACCACAAATCCACCCAATACAACCATAGCCAACGGGAATGCATCCAACAACAATTCACACCCAGGTTTCGAGGAAGGCAAACGAAAGCGCAACGTGATTGCCGCCATCGTTGGAAGCATTCTCATTGTCATGCTTGGTCTCTACTTGGCCCGTGACAAGCAAGATAGACTCAAAGAGTTTGCCTCCAACGTGTACAGCAGGCTGAAAAAGAGAGTGCAGGAAGCGCACAAGCAACATCAAAGGAGGCAGAGTCAACGGCGGCAAAATAATGCCAAGATTTCACCTGCTCTGAGCACGGACACGGACGATGTCAAGAGCAACAATGGTGGCTATCGTCATCATCCCCACCCAGACTTTCGCAGACGTCATGAAATTTACGATGTCGAATCATTGCAACATGAACGAACAGGGTTTCTCGAAGATCAGCGTATCGGGACCGAGAATGTTGTTCTTCAAGTCGGCGACGAAGTTGAGGCGGACCATGATGCGCACGACATGAAACCTCATATTCGCCAGAGCGACGGGTCGAGCAGCTTGGGCTTCAAGACTGTTCGGGTCAATCCAGAAGAATTCACAACTCGTCCGTATGGAAGAAAAACTTTCTCGATGAGATTCGATCCAGATGATGAGATCCCAGACGAGAGGGACAACACGAGAGACGTAGAGGAGAACACAAACTATGCCACTCATGTTCACCAGCTCGACCACCATGATATTGACTTGGGCACCGAAGAAGAAACCCACATCAACGAAGACTTTCGGGATTATCGATTTGATGATCTGGAATCAGATAGCTCCGCCATGTCACTATATTGCAGTTCAGTTGCAGACGAAGGAAGTCGCGCAAAGGCAAGGAATCAAATTCCAAACAGGGCCAAGAAACAAATAGGCAAGAAGAAGAAGAAGGTAACGATTGATGTCGACAATAGCGAAGAGCCTATAGTGGACACCATCCCTCGAAGAGGTAGCCGACTTAACCAAGAGCCTCGGGCGGAAACGATCTCAAGTCCCCGAAGAGGTAGCAACACAATGTATCCCGCCAATCGTTTTGGCCCAAATGCTCCGTCAGAATCCAAATCTGATTCGGGACAACACGGTCACCTGAGAGGACATTCCGTTCCGTGCCTTTCTCCTCGCGCACGTCGTCAAATATCGGCTAGAAAGGGGACGCTGGGTGGAAGTTCCCATCATCAGAGGGATGAAAATCAGCAGAATAGAAACAGAAGACAGAGTGGCTCTTCTCGTCAGAAGCCTCTGCGAACTGCTGCCAGGCCGACCCCTGCGAAAAGAACGTCTGCAAAGAATCCAAAACGAAGGTCTCTAAAAAAAGCACCCAGCGTTTCGAGCCTGGAGGAACCAAGCGAGCAGGCAAAGGAATTGTCGGTTGCAAGCAAAGCGGATAATCAGAAAGAGTCAACAGTGCCCCAAAGCCCCGAAAAGGCGACGGTGAAAAAGACATTCACCCGGCAGCAGAAGAAACACAGTCCTACACCATCGCGTACGGTACACTTTGAAGAAGTAGAGCTAGAGAAACCTGTGGATCGCTTCCTCAGATATGCCATGGATGAAAGCAGCACCGAGAGCAGCGACGCTTCCGAGTCCACCCACGACCACGACCACGACCATGACGAGGGATCATCGCGCTCGAACACAACACCGTTGCAAGCTAAAATGGAAGACGAGTTAGAGTTACCAGAACGTCATCGCACCATTGCAATCGACGTTGCTCTATCTGACGAGGAAGAAACGAGTCTCACAGAAATGTCCAGACAAGGATCTCTGGAAAGATCGCGTGACAGTCCGCCGGTGAGCCCAAGGCAAGAAAACAAAAAAGTGACACATCGGTGTGAGCCCAAAGACTTTGGTGGCAAGGACCGCCACAATTCGAGCCTCGTGGAGACGAGACGGCATGCCAGTTTATCTCCAGCACAAACTCGGCCGACTCAGGCGCAAAGCGAAAAGAAAGTCAACGACCCTATGAAGGAGAAAAGTACAAACACAATGAGATCCGCATTCATGAGAGCAATTCTTGGAGACAGCAGCGGGGACAGTACCCCCAAAACGAAAAGCCAGCCTGCAAATGAGAAAGGCAAGGTTATCAATGTTGATTGCAAGACTATTGATATGGAGAAGAGGCCGTTGATGGAAGTCGATACAATGAGTTTCAGCAGCGACAGTGCCTCCTTTCACCCTCATTCACCTGTGAACAGTATCACCAAAGGCCTTGTTCGAGGAGATAGCGACAGTACCTACTATGGTAATGCATCTGAAACCTCCTCCACCTTCCCTCCAGAATCATCCACTTCGGAATCATTTGCCCTACCAGAAGACGAATCAGGTACAGCCGCCAATGATTCTACACAACCCTCCACCAAAGCTGCTACCAAAGATCCCATCGCAGAGATACGCGAGCTGGTTGCAATCGTCATGCCAACGGAACAAGAAAAGATAACTCACATGCTTGATCAATACAAGGGACGCGAGATTGTTTTGCTACAAACCTTGCGACGCCTCGAAGCCAGATCATCTGCACGAAGGCGGCGAGGATCCACTGTCTACGCAGCCAAGTCGACAACAGATCCAAAGCGATCATCTTTGGATACTGCCAAGGAGGCCCTTCGAAGATCATCTGTGGTGACTGAGAATGCAGAGCTTCTCGCGGCGTCGGCAACAGCAGTTGCTGCTAGTCCCACCTTGGCAGAAGGCAGTGAGCGATCGGAGAAGACTGCCATGCTCGATTTGGAAACCTCGTCTGAAGGTGGGCTAGAAGAAGACGAATTCAGCCTCGACAGTACATATGTGGATGATGATATGAAAAGATCCTCCGGTAGCATTCTTGGAGATGACGATGGCAGCTGGTCCGTCTTCTCAGGGGGGGTGCGGTTCGCTGTGTAGTCAGGCAGCTGAATACCACTATTATGTACTAGCTAGTAGCTTTGAGCACATCAGGTGCATCATTGACAGTGCATTCTCTTATGCAGCGCTGGCTACAACGTAGAACCCACGAACGCATTGCCTATTGGCTCCGATTAGATGATGGCCATCTTCCTAAGGCTGAACCTTTGGAGCATGGAATCCACAGGGAAGCAATGCATCTATCTATTTATGTAACTGGGGGTAGGAAGACTAAAAAGAAAGAGAGGGGGTGTTTTGATTGATTGATGCTATAGAATTTTGTTTTTCAAAAGTAAATGAAGCTGCTATTGTTGTCTGGGCATTCTGTGCCCCACAGCCACAGAATGATCCCATAGGTTCAAACTGCATGTCACTGTGCCCCTGTGACCTTACATGAGAATCCAATCTGCTCCTGTCACACCCAATAGCAGAAGGGATCTCACAGGCCCACTATTGCACGGAGTCTAAATCCCAGAATGTCATATTGGTAACAAGTGTCATTTTCACTTACTCTCGGGAACCAGTATCACCCCATTTCCAAGGGTGCCAGAACCTCAGAGTTGCTTTGGACTCCTCCACAAGGAGCCATCCTACAATCACCTCACCAGGATTTCCAACACATCTCCATCATCTTGGATGGAACAGAAAGCAGTGCAAGTCACATAGCATAGTCGCTATGTGCTGCCTCCTCTATTGCCTACAGCTCACCATCTCAACCAACCTCCCACTTGGAGTATTGTGGATGAGTCTCTCAGCAGAATGCTACAAACCAGTCCTTTTGTGGACCATCTTGCTCCACACCTACAGCGGTGTCAAAGCAAAGAGTCATGTGGTGCACCTATCAGAACCAGGGAGGCTCTGGGTGCCCCTGGCAAGTTGATTTGCAAAGCAACTTCATTTATGAGCTCATGAGAAGTGAAAGTGACTTGGTTCTTGCGCAGAGAAAAACGGGGTTTCAAGTGGGCGGTTTTCAGCTGTTGCCAACTCTCAGACAATAATTGACCCATCGTGGGACCATGTCTTGGAGGAAATGTACGTAAGGAAAATGATGCAAAGTATGGAATCCCCGAGGTTTCCAAAGCACTTCTGTAAAGATCATGCCTACAACTTCATTCTCCCATCTGGACATAGCGTCGACAGAGTCCAAGTCCTCATCACTGGTACCGAAACTCGATCGGCGAAGACATCTCTGGAGCGTATCATGTCGCCTCGAAGCACCACCACTGCGATTACTTCGTTTGCAGCGACGACGTTGAAAAACAGTGGCAAGGCCGTGAAGTTGGTTTATTCGCCCTCACGAAGTGGAAGAAATGCAGCGGTGACTGGGCTATTCTGATGTATCCAGTTGGAGTTCAACCTCATCGCGATGACCTGGAACGCAATGAGGATGAAGCGACGGTTCTTTGGAAGGCGCCATGGAGTCGAACTTTGGGGATGCCACCTGTATGCATGTGGGTTGGCGTTTCGCCTACTGTACTAGGTCCTGTCATTGTGATGATCTGGAGGTTTTCGTCACGTACACATGAGGAACAAGTGAGCACCGATTTGAACGGCAAAGAGGCGTTGAATCGAAGAGAAACAGAGTTTGGTTTGGATTGAAAGAGAGAAAGATGATTTTACGACACAGTCAAGTATTCCTTCAGTTTCCTAAAGCACAAGTAGGTAAACACTTTAGCAATGACGGGTTGATCAAGAAAACATGACAGCCAGACCTGCCTTGCTGCTGTAGCACGGAAGCCTGAGTGGCATAGCTACTTTGCTAGAAGCAGTTAACTAAAGGTAGTCGAGAGTATGCCGCATTTAGCTGCAAAACAGCATCTACCCGAAGCAAAATGCCAGCCGTCAGTTCGGTACCTATAGTACGTCCAACGTATTGGCGCCACGCCTCCATATGCTCACTTGGCCGTAATATCTGCAGATCACCCCCACTGCCCACTCACTTTAGTTCCGTGATATGTAGTGCCAATCGAAGTCCCAACTCGCAGAGTCGTGCTGCCACTCGCACGTTCAAGGAGTTTCCCATGAGTTTCCATTGTTGTTTGACAGAGGTGTCCTTGGGAAAGGCAAAATCGTTGCGAAAGCCAAGCAGCCGTGCCATTTCAGTTCCCGAAAAGTAGCGCAGTGTGTTATCCAGATCCAATCCTTTGGCCCAATCTGCGTCAAACTCGCGTTGATCCGGTGCTACCAACTGGAATGGATTGTTGTTTTTGTTGTCGTTATCGTTATTGTTTGATCCAAAATACAAGACACTCCCCGTGCCCCGTACAAATTTGCCATAGCCATGAGTAAAGCAAGCACTTCGTTGCGCCCGTGGTGTGACAATGTCAAAGCACCATGCCGATTTGGAGTGGAGAATCTTTTGGGGTATTCTCAAGTCCAAGTTTTGGTGTTCTTGTTCGTCCAAGATGGTTGCAATGGTTGGGAGGACTGTCGGTTCTGTGTTGGCTTCAGTTTTCTGGATTCCTAGCTCTTCTAAATGAGAATGGATTGTGCAACTCGTTGTGGCGTCGTCCTTACTTGCATTGGGCAAGACGGAACTCTCTTTTGGTTGCTGTTGCTCACTGTCGAATGATAGCTTTTCCAATTGGAGGTACTGTTGTAACAACGATTGCTTGTCGCTTGTTGCTGTGGTGGTTGGCATTCGCACTGCCACACAATAATACCGGGGTCGATCATTGGGGATGCCACATTGTGTTGGCGACAAGTGAAAGTGTCCCACGGAATAGTCTCGCTGGGAGAGAACTCTTCTCATTCGCAAACAACTCTGGCTGGTTTCAAATCCCACCACATTCTCCACCAGTATCAGTTGAGGCAATTTGTCGGCATTCATGGTTTCCATCAAGTGACAGAGATGCAGAAAACTCTTGGAGCGAGGATCTTCCAAATCGGCTTTTTGGTTGTCGTGTTGTCGGGTATGTGGTTGACAGGGAGGACTCATGGCCCAGATGGCGGCATTCCATTTGTGCACTTGTTTCAACGTCAGCTTTTCAATGCTGGTGGTAGTAGGCTTGGCATTGTTGCTATTAGTGTTTTGGTGGCAATGGTTATACTGGTACACTTTGGTACACAGATCCGAATGATCCAAGGCGGCCAAACATCGCAGAGAAAGTTTATTTTGCGTGTCAGGATCCAATCTCTGAATTGCCTCTTCCAGCGCCATGGACCAACCTCCAACTCCACAATAGAATTCGACAAAGGTCAGTTCCTTGGCGTCACTAGAAGAAGTGCGTGGGAGTTTGGTGGGCCTCTCGTCGTCTTGGCCATTCATTTTGTTGTTGGCAAGAAATGGAGCTCGATGACTACGATGTTTTCCCTCTTGACCAAATGGAAAGCCAGTACTAGTACAACTAGGGAGGCGTTGGTTACAGAATGCGTTGGTACCGGTTGCAATCAGGGACAAACACAACAAGAGCAGCGCTGGAAGGACCGCCATTGTTTGGACCAAAGATCAAAGATCCCACTCGCAGCTTTCAACTCCATCAATAAATCGGCAGGGCTGTAGACGTTCGCATTGGCAGAGTTTGGTCCACCGGCAGTATGACAACCTTCAGCCACTCGTCATGAAGCGATGAGAGCTCTGTTTCAGAATGAGATTGAGCACCTCCTGTTTACTACCTGCCTGTCTGCGCCTACAACCCCAGCACCTCAAACATTAGCTGCAACAACACCAAGAATTGGCAGGAACAGTATTGGGCTCTCATGTCCATTGCCTCTGTGCTCTGTGCTCTGCTGCTCTGTTTGGGAGTCTACCATCCTTCACAAAGCTAGATAGATAAGATACGTACCTTTCATTATGCCGCCCATACCGGTAGCTAGACGCTACATGTAGCTAGAGACATCATCCACACGTCTATTGTAGGTACCAGCCAGGAAGCTCCAAGACGAAGGCATAAACTAGAAACTAACTTTATTGGCTTTTGGGGAGTGGGGAAAATTTGTGGAGGGAACACTAACTCTACTGTATCCCAAAATCAAGATGGCGCACCTCCCGTTGGTTTTTATGGGCGGCACGCCTCGGAGACACAGCGTGGGACTCGCCTTTGCATCCGAGGTGGCCCGTTGAATAAATACGATTATCATTCCACGAAGAAACAACATTTCCCTAACAGCGTGAACAGCGCGCGTCGACCGTCGCTATGTTCCGTGCTCTCAACCGAGCCCCATCAACCGTGACAGTGCTCTTGCCTTTGTACCAAAGCAAACAGCAGCAGCAGCAAACCTTCCTCAACTTGTCCATCGTCCAACGAAAGAACCATAGTACGAACCCTTGCTGAAACCAACGCTCTTGTCGCTCTCTGTTGGTTGATTTCTCTTAGTTATTAGCATGCTTGCCTTTATGGCTTATCCACCCAACACCGTTGGCACTACCGCTCCCTCCACTTCCAGCAGGGATCGCATAGTCTCGTTATCGCATCACAGCAGCAACAACAGTACTACCAGTAGCAACCATAGTCAAGCGCCCACACAACAACAGCAACAACAGCAGCAATCCTCCAAGATGATGGAAATGGAAGGTCCTCCCGAATCCATGCTGTCCATTGCGACCGAATCTGCCGCCATTCACTTGACGTTGGATCAAGGCAGTGACCTGGTATTGCCGCCCAATAATAACCTGGATCACAGTGTCATTGCCGATCCGCCATCACCGCAACCGGAACGACGCCGTCGAACACATCTTCTTGAAAAACTCTACGAAAATACAGTCGATGGACCCTGTCAAACCGTCACGCTCTGTGAAGTACAACACATGGACCTCTTTTTGGTGAGTTAGATTATAATGCTTGGCTGTCTACGTTGCAGCAGGAATGCTCTAGTTATCATGATGTACTACTGTATTAGGAACCTCATGGTCATGTCTCACTTTTTCTATCCTTTTTTTTGCTATGCGTTTCGGATACCCTTGTACATTACAGAACTGCCAACAACCGTTATCCTTTTTGGGATTTGGCGCCGGCGAAGATCCCCGGAATAGTGCTTCCTCCTCTGATTTGGAATTGAGTTATCATTTGCCACCCTCCTCGGCATATGGCTATATCAACGAGATGGAAGAACCTCCCATTCCAGGAGCATATGCCGTACCGAGAGGATGCGAGTATTGTGGAGCCACGCACACGGCGGATTGTCCAAAGACTTGTTCACGGCCGCGGCTGTATTTTCAAAAGAAACGACCACCCTTTGCCAAACGGGATGCGTCCTTGTGGGATCCAGATACGGATGAAGCAATACCACAGTATTGTCCTCCTCCGGATGCATAGCTAGCTGGCGCAGAATAGATGGAAGGAAGGATGCAAAACCACACCAATCCACCGCTGCGAGCTCAGTGCCAATCTTGGATGTATCATTATTTTGCTATGGCCACGCTACTGGCCTTTTCCCTACTGGTACTGATTTTTTGGTGCGTTCTCGGTCAACCATTCATCATTACCACCAGTTATCTGCACGATGATGCTCCGCTAGCCAGCTGACTCGAGCGAGAACAAGGCTATGCTATAAACTGCTGCTGCTGTTACTAATAGGCTAACGCTAAACAACCTGTTGTCTACCTGTCTCCAGTGCAAGCAAAGCCTACCGGCTGGCCTACAGTGTTCCTTTTATGTTTTGATGTATATCCATCCATCCATCCTTCCCACCATGTCTAGCTAGAGGGTATCCAATATGAATTTGCTTATTCTCCATGTCATAGGCTACACCTATGCTGATTAGCAGATACCTTTACTCGCAAACCAAACAACAGAGTGTGAAGGTATATTATGATGTAGAGCTTTGGAGGCGGCTTCGCCCATTTTATGCATTAACTTTCTCTCTGATGCTTAAAGGGAGCCTGGCTTGAGGGCCATGTCACCAGTCCAGCTTGCTCCACCTTCCACAGTCACAGGGTCAAACTTTAGTAGAAGGAGGGGAAGAAGCAAAAGCAACACACAGTTGGTTAGAACAAAGTCTGCCTTGTGATTTCATCCCTCGAGTCCAACCCTGCTTGTCACGATTAATTTTGACGCACCTTGACACTCTCCACGCAGACAAAGTTGTTGTATCCCATTCCTTCGTCACCGTAGGGGTTCCAGAGAACTGTGTCTTCCCATCCAGCAGTGTTCAGAACCGAGAGCTGCAATGAATCGAGACATGAACACAGGAAACAGTTTGTCAGCAACAAACTGTAAACTTTTGTTCTCAACATAATAAACCATACTCACCGACTTGCCAGTTCCCTTGTCATTCAAGACAGGGTCGTTGACGCCCTTGTAGACACGGTCGTATTCCTCCGAGATGGTAATGGCACTACGATCTTCGGTTTGCATTTCACCTTCGTCTCCCACCATCTTGTTCAAGAATTCCTTGCCTTCAAAGGATCCAGCAATTTCCAAGTTGTCGAGTCCCGAAACGGTAAAGTAGGAGTGAAGGGCCGCCTGAAAGTCAAAGGCTTCCTCTCCCTTGTTTTCCACCAACATTTTGGTCGAAAGCTGGTCGGCTTCCAAGTCTACACTGAATGTGCACAAGAATTGCTTGTCCCACATTTCCTTGGAGTAGTCGGAAGGAGCCAATTCCATTTCCACCGAAGTGTCCGTCATGGACTTGACAGTCCAGTCAACATTGCGGGCAAAACCGTGTTGTTGGATTTCACCGGGTCCGAACTGTTGTCATCATGGTAGTATTAGTAATGAAATAATCAGAGTGAAGGATTTTATGAGGTCCAAAATCAGCTTGGACAACCATGGCCAATATACTACAGCAAGAGTAGTCAGAGGCCAAAACATACCTGAGGCCAGCAGTGAGAAAGACCTCCACTGATGGGCTTGGATCCATCGGTCTTGGCATCAGGTCGGACTGCAATGAACTACGGAGCAATGAGTTTGGCGGATAAAGAGAATGAACACAGGTAGATGAGAATGCTAGGTTCGGTGTATCAGCTAGAATATTCCTTCCAGGAATTTACCTCAGTTCCGTCTCCATCCACGTAGGAAGTGACGACACCACCGTACAAGTACACCTCCGAGGTAGCTCCAGTATCAGGGTGGACGAGCTTGACGTATTCCAATCCATGCTCACTTAAAGATGCACAACAAGAAGAAAACAAAATTGTGAGAATGTCCTGACAGGTCCATACAAAAAATGAGTTGCTTGCAAGCAGCCATTCTTTCTTTACTTACTTGGTCATCAATCCAGCAGCAGCACTATCCGAGGGAGCCTCGGTCATGCCCCCTCTAGCTTCGACCCATTTGGTACGAGAAGCAATCTTCTGTGCCTTGCGACTGGCTTGGAGCACCACATTACTACTGGTGGATGATCGAGGTTGCGGCTGGACCACAAAGGCACCAGTGGATGCCAAGCTGACAAGCAAAAGGGATAAACTAATCTTCATGGTGATGGTGTCTGATGATGCAATAATAGAAAGGAAATTGTGGTCTCGGTGCTGCTACCAGGAAGTGTTGCAAGGGGCGGAAGGCTGACAAAGGTGTTGCAGTGTGGCTGTCATTGTCTTGATGTGGTGGTACGTATGTTGGATCTTTGGTGTTGGCGTCAGGCAGTGAGTCATGAATCGAATCTCTTGGACGCAAAGATTCGTTCTGGATCGGTTGAACTTTGGTTGGTGGCTCAACTGGCTTCGTTTTGAATCCTGGAGTTCTCGATCGACCTTCAGCTGGTCTTCTTTTCCTGCTTGGCATTGTTGGTGCTGGTTTCATGCCGTGTCGATATCAGCTTCCTGTTGCAAGAAACAAACTACTCAAGCCGTCTCTATCGAGTAGGTCTAGGCTCTGCCATTATCTCAGTTACTTTTGGAAGAAAGAAGCAGTCTATTTGATTTTCTAGTCGGATACCCATTGCTTCCAATTGCTACTCTCGCACTAATATTTTCCACCAACAATGACAAAACCCAAGAAAAAGAGCACAGTCGATGTCGAGTCGCATCAACAGCAACAACAACAAGCAGTTCGGAATCCCTATTCCAGCAGCATGGAACCTGAAGTCCTTCCCATCTACCATCCCATCAACATTCTCAAACGCTCCCTCTATATTGGTATCTCCCTCTACGTATTGGAAAAGCTCGATGCCCACAAGGCCATTTTCCATGCCCCGGATGTCAGCCATGAATGGTTCAAAATTGGTTTGGGCGGGACCATTGCCATTATGATGATCAAGGCATATGTCGAATTGTACTCGGGAAAGTTGCAACAACAAAAAGTCAATTACGAAAATTTCAAACAAACCACCCACGCGGTCCTATTCTTGTTGATATCCACATCGATTGCCTTTCATGTGGCACTGTGGCCACACTATGGGACCACTACCTTTTTGGTCCTTTTCTTGGTCGGAGTGGTCCTCCTTCAAACGGCCCTATTGATACCACCGTACTTGCAGAATCTTATTTGTATTGTTGGAATGACATTTTTCCTGCAAGAGTACAAATAGGAGGAGTTCTTGGTTTGAATAGATGTCATATTATTTTGGGCCGGGCAGAAATAATAGTAATGACAATCTACCCAATATGAGATCTTGGACCGATCCAAAAGATGCAGAAGCTGCAGGCTGATGATACAATACGGATTCTGTAAACTAAAATTTTCTCGTTCTCACCAGTTTGGAAACTTTTGTTTCTTCCAAAAAAACTTCTCTCAAATCCCCATGTGTAGCTGTTTTGCAAGGCACTTTGTTCTTTTCAGTTACCGACCGGCACTGTAGAGGCTGGTAGCGAAATCTAGCTACAGCACCGTAGTGTGGACCCCAACAGGCTCTGAGGCACAACCCAATCAGGGAAAGCACAAAAAACATGGCAACCGGTCCAAATTGAACTGAGAAAAACAAAGGAAAGAAGATGGAGAAAGACAAAGGAAAGAGTGAATAGAAACAGCTGCGGATGACTCGACTTGACTCCGGGCACCCTTCGCTATGAACGAACCCCATGCGTGTGTGACATCATGGAGTGGAACCGATCAGGCCAGCAACGGAAATACTGTACCAAATGCCTTGGCTGGGATTTTGGAGGCCAATGCTGTCTTCGTACATGGCATGCATGTACAGCACTTTACTCAGCAGGTCCTGCGTATGTCAAACTCCAACAGACAACGGAGCAATCCGCAACCCTACGACGGAATGCATCAACTTGTCACTTCTAGCATAGTGTGACTGACTGATGGGCAGTGCTGGTCTTCTAACTAGTAAACGGTTTACTTTGTTTTATCATAGTGGCATGCGACATCTTATCGTCCCAAGTAATTTGCGTGTCCGTCGGAGTGCTTTCCACCCAAATAGGACTGCTCCACCATGTGCCGTAGAACGTTTGACAAGCCCTTGTTAGACCACTATAAAAGATGCATTGGTACAAGAAGAGAGTGTTAGAAAAGACGTTGCCATTGACTGAAAAAAGGGAGAACGAGCTGTGGGAGCCTTACCGTCGTTTGTTGCCGTTCCATTTCTCTTGCGTTGTTTGTTTTCCCAATACAGAACCCTTTGCTCCACCAATCAGTCAATCAAATGAATGAATCAAATCAATCCGAGAGCTCCAAGATTTCCTGATTGGCTGGTACGGTGCGTGTAGTCTTTCTTTGGCGCTTTCGTTGCTGTTGTTTTGGATTATTGTTGTTGCTATTGTTGGGAGCATTGTTTTCGTTTCCCCACTTGTCGAATTGTTCCTTGGTCAATTCTTCAATATCCGATTCCTCGTCATCATCGTCATCATCATCAATGTCCATGGCATCCATGCCCTTGTGAATATCGATAGTCGCCAATTTTCGTTTGTTGTTGCGTTGTCGTCGAGACGGCGTGGCTGCTTGCGGTGGCTCCACTTCTACTTCTTGATGTGGCGCAGACGAGGAGACTTGACACACCACCGTGTCACCCTTGCGAATGACGTCTCGAACCAACTGGTGTGACTCGTATGCCAGACGCGTATTGGGAGCATTGAAATTCTTGACTTCCAGGGCGACCACAGCATTGTTCATGGTGTCGTCACCATATTGACCCTTGATTTGAATCACCAATTGGGCCATGGTCATGTCTTCGGGCACGTCTGTTCGAATGCGTCGTGGCGCCGCGCTTCCACTTCCGCCGAGTTTGCTGGAGGAATAGAGCGTTCTCTTTTGTTCGTCATCATTGTCATTGCTGTCACTGCTGTTGTTCAACGAGAGGAATTCGAGCTGAATCTTGTAGGACGACGCCATGGCAAACAGAGAAACAAACAAACAAACAATGATGGACAGAAGAGAGGTTGATTTGTGATTTTTGTTGAGTTGATGGCGCGGGTTTTTGAACGGAAGCAAGAAGGCAGCTGTTGCGTTGAAAAGTGTCTGCGTTCCTTCGGGTTGGTTCGTTGTTGCTCTTCTCAACAGCCTTGCGGGCTTTACATCAATGACACTGCTGCTTTGCGGGCTTCAATCACTCCCTCCAACACGATGACGGAAGAATTTGGTCATGGCTCATTGCTGTTCCGAAAGGCCGTCGTCGTTGGGATCATGATGTCTCCCGCTGGCGATGATGTTGTTACAGATGAGACTACTCATACCACTACCACAAGTCCACAAGAAGAAGGCATCATGGTGGAAGTGAACGCAGCAGCAGCACCACGGCGTCTCGTCATCTCGGATTATTATAAACCTGACGAATCATGGATGGACGTCTTTGAGAATCTGCCCATTCTCTTGTCACCATCGATTCAAGAAATCATTGTTGATCGACGTGATTTCATAGAATCCCTCAGTGAAGACCAGTTGATGCAAGTCATGATCTGGATCAGTCGTCTTCCATTTCTTGAGCGACTCTCGTTATCCTTTGTCCAACAACCGGGTGAGCCATTGCCGTTGACCATGACGGCTCTTTCCACGGTACTACTACACCGACAACAACCCTTGCAGTATCTCGAAGTGGCGTGGGTATGTCTACAGGGGACCGAACCAGAATGGCATGAATTGCTCCACGTTCTCTCCACACGATACTCCTTGAAGGAAGTCAAGTTTCGCAATCTTTGTTTGAATCCAGATCATCAACAGCCCCAATCATCAATATCAGCCAGTAGTCAAGAAGAATCAGTATCAGTATTTGAACCACAACTCCACGACTTGCTCCACGTATTGGCGCACTTGCCATCACTGGAAGAAGTCTTTGTCTTGGATGCTCACCGCATCATTCATGATTGGAGAATGCCAGATCCCAACACGGCACTTCCACAATTGGCCAGCAGCACCAGTCTCCAAACACTTTGTCTCATGATACCCCTGTCTCGTCCACAAGTACAACAATTGGCACGCACGATGACGACTTGTCATCATTTTTTAGAACGGCTCGCACTCTTTCGTTGTCAAGTCAATGATGAGGGATGTGGCCAATTGGCACACATGTTGCACTATAATACCCGACTTCAAATACTACGGCTGGATGACAATCGCATATCCACACGCGGGTGTGTCGCACTGGCAAACGCGTTGCGAGTCAATACGACCTTGCGCATACTCGATCTCAAGGGGAATGCCGGTATTGAACGAGCGGGCTACCAAGCATTGTGTGACACGTTGGAATTTGATAATTTTGGTCTCATGGGATTGGAAATGGAACCACCACAACAACAACAAGACAATGATGATGATGATGATATTATGGTTGCGACGGCACGCAGTGAAACGAATACATGTAGCAGCACTGGACAAATACAAGACAAGATTCGATTGTTCCTCAAGCTCAATGAACAAGCACGGAGAGTTTTCTTGCGGCACGTCAATCATCGAGCACTCTTTGTGGATTGCCTGCATCACTTTCGAGAGGAACCAGACTTTTTGTTCTACTATCTACAGGCCAATCCTGTCGTCTGCCAAGTGGACTGAGAAGAAGTTGCTTCAGCGGAGAATGGAAGGTATTGTTCTTTCTGTATGGCGACCGTGGTGATTGCTTCTTCTCGCCCAGTCAACGAAGTCGTTTGGCCTATGGAGTTGAGTCCTTTTGGTTGATTTGAGGCTCCCATGAATGGATATGCTAGCGCTATAAAGTAACGTTGAAGATACCTTTTGATCGCAAAGTAAACTTGCATCATGGGCCTGAACGCCCTGTGCTTTGTGGTGTATGCAACTTACTTGTCCATCCCAGAACGACTTCGGGGCACTCCCAGCAGGTCTCCTCCTATCTAGATAGAGCCATCGATGGACACACATGGCCATGTACATGGCACAGTAGGTGCTGCTGGACCTGCGCTGACAAGGCCCACTATCACGGCATGGACGGCTGGAAATATAAGGACGGCCACTGAGCCTAACACACCACGAAATCCTCTCAAGTGATGAGGAGAACGGACACGTGGAGTCCAGCTAGTTTGTTGACAAGCCTGATTTTTGCTTTTTTCGCGACCGTGAATTGAAACATGAGATTGAGTATCCAAATGTGCTGTTGCTCGCTTGTTTGCGGTGTATTATTAGTGTACTGTTTCTTTCTTTCTTTCTTTATACTGTATCATGCCGTCAAATCTGGACCGCCATCAACAAATACATACTGTAGCTTAAATGGAAGGATTCTGGCTTTTCAAAAAGTCGGCCATAGAGATGTCTCCAGCGGCGGCTCCACCATTGGCTCCACCATTGGCAGGCTCCTCGTAGACGGGTCCAGGAGCGGGCTCCTCGTAGGACTGGTACACTTCTGTGTACAAGGATTCTTGTGGGACAGGGACAGAGGCAAAGTACTGGTGCTCAGGTCGGATGGGTGTCATTGGTCGACCGTTGTCACCAGGAGACCAGCTCATGATTTCCATACACCAGTTGTAAATCTTGTCGCAGAAGGCTTGCATGGGAAGGATAGTGAAAGGCTCTTCTAGTTGGGTTCCAAGTTCTTCAATTCCGAACAAAAACACGGACAGGACAGCAGTGGCAGGGATCATACCGACATGGTTCCATGTGGAACCAAACGGATCATAAAGGGCGAAAGGTACAAGGGCAAGCCAGACGAACAACATTCGGCTCAAGTGCCTGGAGTAAAAGACTGGGACGGGAGAAGTCAAAAGACGTTCGGAACTTCCCAAATCATCCTCGAAAATGGTGACGGCCCTGTGGACTTCGTTCTTTCTCATAAAGTGCATGGGGCAGTCATCAATAGCAAAAGAAAGATCTTGCAGGGCTCGGTTGGGTCTGTGAGCAGCATCAATGATCATCTCAGCCTGTTGCTGGGGAAGCTTCTCGTAAAGTTCGGCACGGAAGGCTTGTTCGTCTTCTTCCTCAGGAGACAAGTGACGTTTCATGGCACGGACAAAAGACCATGTGCACAGAGCAACATGGTTGAGGTCATCAGCACGCTGTTCAGGAGAGACTCCAGTGGAATCATAAAAGGTGTTCACCATACGAACCAGATCACGGGTGTGGTTAATGTTCATTCCCCAGTTCTTTCGGGCTTCGTCCCAGCGTTGGTAGGATGTGTTGGTACGGAAAACTGAAGAAAGAGAAAAAGAGAAAAAGAGAAAATAATATGGCATGGCATGGCAAATCCAAAACGTCAGTCTGCATACCATACAGCCGCATAGCTACTGGTACGAACAACATGCCAAAAACGTACCCAAAAGGAGACCAAGGGAAGAACTGGCCAAGGTGAAGGGTGTCAAAGGAAGTCCAATCTTGACCAAAAAGTCAGCAGCCAAAATGGGCTCTTGTTGCACTCCATCTAGACCGACCAATCCTCCGACAAGACCATTGTAGATGCACACAACAGCAGCAATGGCTGTTGTGAGGGCAACCTCACGGGCCAAGTTCTTGTACACTCCAGACTTGAACACAGCTCCAAGGTAGAAGAGGAATCGGTCTTGGGAACGGTGCTTCTTCCAGTCATCGTGTGTGTAGACGGTACGACGGAACTGACGCTGAGCTTCACCATCGGGGATGTCTTGGGATTCACGGGAATTGGCGTTAATGAAACTATCCCATCCAGTGGAAGTGGATTCCAGCTGAGTAGCGGCTGGCACCAAAACCTTGGGAGAAGAAACCTTGGGAGAAGGGACCCCGAAGCCTTGAGCAGAGGCAATGAAGGCCGTCAAGATGAGGGCAGTGAACTTCATTTTTACTTTCTCTACTAGCTAGATATCAAGTAATAAAATGGGAGCAACGAATGAGATCAGTGGAGAAGATACCCTGGAATATCAACCCTCCAATCTCCCCTCTTTTGCGTTCCTTTCTCCCCAAAGACTCACATTGAAGGGTCGAGAAAGATCTCACAAATCAGAATGCAGCAAGGCAACGTCTGACTTACGTAATCGCTTTCGCGAGCTGTCAAGTTTTTCTTTCTCACAGAAGCAAGCTGATGTATGTACCGGTTGGTACCAGCACCAAAAACAAATCTTTCGTTCTGCCTCACCTCACAGCGGCAAGTATGCATTAGTGATGTGAGCCAATGACGTACTCATACGTGTTGTTCTTGATAAGCCAGAATAGTCACTTTTACACCATGGCGTTCGCAGAAGGATCCAAATCAAGTCTCGTCTGGGGGGACTCGGCAATCCGACACCTCTCTGATCACCACACCCATCGTCTGCCTGCCAATGGAATCACAAAAGTTATGGCAGGATGCAATGACCAACTTACTTACTTGCTCTAGCCTGAAGAAAACAACGCAAAAATGTCAGACTGTTGAGATACCCTCGCAAGCTAGCTAGCAGGTAGCTCCGACACATCAGGCTGCACTCCAAGTCCCAAGCTCGTGGTAGGTACTAGTACCTAAAACATTGAACTACTGTTACTGTATCGTACCGTACCAGACACAACCCAGGCCAATGCCTTGCTACCGGTATGGTAGAACTTTGTTCAAGGACTTACTCCTTGACCAACGCGAGGACGACCACCGGATCAACACACTGCCTCCGAACTCAACTCTGCCACACGCACCTCGACAGACTTGGGCTGCAAAATCAGCCATGCACAACAAGGCCGAGATGCAACGAACTCTGCGCTGTGTCTTTGTCACTTCCAGAATAGAAATAATTAATATAGTCTACTCTCGCCAGTCTATGGCTACCTGACAGGTCTACCACTAGCTACTAGAGTAAAAGAAGAAAAACTATAGTACAGGAATCGCCAACTCATGCTCAGCCTTTAGAAGCAATCGAAATCGACCGCTATTGTAGTGTTGAAACCATGTCGACAAAGACTACTCGGTTCGACTCCGTTTACTGGGATTGGGATCACCTCGTTGGAGTTCTTCGACGGTCCGTCGATCTCGTTTGTTTTGATTCAGTTCCTTGACATTATTGTTGGCTTTTGCTTGCAATGCCTTTTTCTGCATTTCCATCTGTGCTTTGTGTGCCTTTTGCTCTTCTGCCTTTTGTTGGTTGGCTTGCATGGCCTGTGCTTTTCCCTTGATTTCATCCGGTAATTCTCCTCGATTGAGTTCCTCCACTACTTCCGGTGGTGCTTCTCCTTCCTTATAGACGGCAATGGTAATTTCATCGGTAAACTCCGAGGGCTCTTTATGAGCAATCCATTCTTCATTGACTTCTTCGGCCGCTTCTTCCACCATGTACCGTAAGATGGACATTGTGACTTTTTGCATATCATCCGTGGTGGCCAAATCCTTTTGATACTCGGACAATTTGATTTCTACGCGCAGCACAGAATCCGAGGCAATGTCAAAATCCAAGAATTTCTGTTCCATTTCTTGTCGAAATTCGGCCATTACTTGTTGAGCCGTCTTTTTGGGACCACTGTTCTCGCCTTCGTCGGCATTATTCTGTTGTGTGGCAGGTTGTTGCGGTTTCTTGTTGGCCACAATGACATGGGCGTTGGTACGTTTTTGGGACGAGACGAGTTTTCCCAGTAATCCTGCCTTTCCTTTTCGAATGGATGCTTTCGCTGGAGCGGCGGGGGCTGCTGGCTTGGGAGGAGGCGCTGCCACTGGTTGTTTCATGGGAATTCCTGGAATGGTCGTGAGATCCCAGGCAAATCGACATTCCATGCTTTCACCCGTCTTTTGAATGTAGGAAATCACCCACATGGCTCCCTTGTTGTCCCCGAATCGACCATACGCCGACTTTTTTCGATCCTTCAAGTACTTTAAAAACCCAGGCAGTTTGTTTCTCCCATCGACGCTCTTAACACTCAGGGACATCCACACGGAAGGATTGGGTTTCCACGCCCAGCCATCGCGCGTGTAATTCTCCAGCACAATGGTCGACGGTAAGGAGGAGTCCAAAGCAGATGATGCCGATGCAGACTCGACAGTGGCCAAGAATTCCGGCTTGGCACCGGGGGTCGGCATGAGGAACAACTGGACTTGCTTCTTGGTCGTCATGGTGATGGTTTCGTTTGTTTGTGGAATGGCAAAAATAAATGATCTTGGTGCACCGCGGAGAATCTTGATCGAATCGAATCGAATCGAATCGAAACAGTGGATGAATCGAATGATTCGATTCAATCGAATCTACGATTGCTTGATCCGTTGATTGCGCGAAGAGGAACACAATGGCCTGATTCCACTTTTAGGTCAAGTGGAGCTACTAGACTATAGCAAGATCATGTCAATATGGGTCTATAGAGGTTGTAAACCTCCCCTCCAGACTAGGATCCAGGCAAAGGCAATGGCCCTGGAGGGGAATGAAGAGATTTACAGAACGGAGAGTATGAGTTTAACAGGGAGCCGACCATAGGGAGACTGACGGACAGGATCCGGGAGAGCCACTCATCCAAGGATGAGGTGGTGGACCGAAGTCGGTTGCACAGGTGTGTGCTATGTGGTGTTGAATAGCTAGAAGGACTACTAATCGGGCGACTACAATCAGGTTCACTTTTTCTAACCAGAGTTGCAGCCGCCCGACACCAATTTCCTTTTCCTTTCCCTCCCGCCCGGGTATTGGATGGAAGTAGGTCTGTCTGTGATACATGCAGCAGGCCTCTCTGTATACATCCAGC